AGGTGATGAAATGTTGTTCTCATCATTGAATTCCGAGGACTCTTTGGGTTAGTACTTAATGTGGAATTCCCCTCTACTCTGCTTTAAAATAGCTAAGTTGGCAAAAAAAAATCCAAGAACTGTCATTATTTCCATGAAGATAACGTTTCATATTCCAGGTGCACCTGGTGGATTCACACGGCAGTGCATTAATGTTTATAACAATATGATCACCAGGTATTTTATTATCATTGTTACTATTACTTATAATGGTTAGTTTAGTGAGAGTAAATTGAATGAAAGCTTGAAAACTCATCTTCATAAGCTCTCATTGGGATGCCTAACATTGAAATTAGGAAATCATGAAAGCTAATTGATTAGCTAACACAGCTGGACTATACGCTTATGAAGCTCGGAATAATTCATGGAAATATTGTATGATGGCCGACTAGCTCAAAAGAAAGCAATCGTTACTGGCAGTTTGACATCTAAACAAGCTATCGATATCTAATGGCGCAATTTGTCAAACGTTCTTAGGTATGTGGTATGGAAAAAGTCCACGAAACACTGCCGGAGTGGTCATTATCGCCACGACATTTGTATATTTGGTATTGCGGATTTACCCACCATGACTACTTCTGGAGCTCTATTTGCAAACAAAATGCTTCCGGAATATGATTATACAGCAATCGGTTGCTGGGCTCATGCTCTTCATAATCGGACTTACTCCGCTGCTGAAATCATGCCTAAAAAACTCAGTTATTATATTAATCGTTTACCGGTTCGATTTCACAACGAACGAGAAAGATGGAAATCCAACTTATCAGCTTTTGATTGCTCTTGTTATTGACAAGTTCTTACCTGAATTGATTAAATTATGCAAATTTCCATGCAAGCATCAGGTTGAAATACCATATCAATTCAAGGTGTGCTGATTTCATACTGTTCCTAGTCAAAACTTTTTTCGAGCAAAATGCCACAAAATCAAGTTGGCGCAAAGAAATAGCATTGTGTTATATGTAGTCGCGGGTACAGTATCAGGCTGCAGAGAAAAAAAAAGTCTGACCAGATTTTGGCGAGATTCTGCATCGGAAATGAATTTGATGTAGAGAACAGTGAAATATGTTGAACAAAATTAGTGATTCAATCAAATGATGTATTTTGTATCTGCCAATCCAACCATTTTGGTCTTTGATCATTTCGTGAAAATTCTTTAATGTTAAATGACCTCACTATCCTGATATTAAACTTGAGAATATAAAAAGACACACACTAGGCGATGGATCAAATTATCTAGCCAAGACAATTTATCAAATAAAAAATGAATAATAAAAAGATTTTAAGACTGGATGAAAATTCATAAGCATATTTAGGGAATTTGCTGAATTAAGTTACTTCGAAGTCATATACTTTCGGACCAATTCTTCTTCCTCCGCTTTTTTTTGCACCATTTCTTAATCCAATCTATTTTCTTTTCAGTTACAATTTCAAATTTTTATCTTTACAATCTTTAAGTAAAAGTAATTTGAAGAATCCATTACTTTGCTCTTTTTCACCATTTAGGTCAATGTATGCATTCTTTGATTTGGCTTTTTTAACAATCGCTTTATGCAAAGCATTAAGGAAGGTTTCTGGTAATTTCATTTAATTTCGTTATTTTTTTTTTTTACGCTTTACAATTAGTAATTGACAAACATTAGCAGTGCATGCTCCGATCCTTACATCCATGTTACGATCTCTAGCATGCATGCATTTCAGCAACATGTGAAAATTTCAATCCAAAGTAAAATTTGTTTTAAATTAAAGTATATCTAATTGAACAGTGCAGATATTAAAGATGTGATAATAGGAATATCCTTGCAATGGGCTTTATCTTACATTGCATTTTGCTATTCTCCAGAATAGTCATGTATATCTCCACTCCTTTGCTATTCCTTCTGCAATTAGCTTTCACAACTTCAAAGATATAATAGGAATATTATAATGCAAATTATATACAAGAAAGTGAAGAATGCAATTCCAAAATCCAGAAATTTCATTTTCTTTTTTTTTTCGCAAACTAAAGATGTAAAGTATCCCTTCAATTTGTTTTCCTTATAATTAAAAGGGAAAAAGTTAAGAAAACAAAGTTTATATATAAGTAATAAGTTTAAATGGAATAATATTAAAGCGTGTTCCCTCAAAGTTCCTTCTAGAAATTTAAATTTTTTATGAAATCCACAAGGTCTTACACAACTCCGGCTTCTCAACTTACCTCGAAGAAGCGTCATATCCAGTTATCAAACCCATTCTGAATTTTTTTTCAGCATTTAATTCTTTTTATTCAAATCAGCACTTCATTTTTAAGTTTCGAAGTTGTAAAAATTTTTCCCATTTGATAATGAAGTATAAGATAAGCTCAAGTTCAGTCAAGTAATGCCTTTTTTTCAGTACCAGTTTTCAGGAATGCAAATAACAAGTTTAGCTTAGGTTGAATAGCTGTTTACTTAGACAAAAAAAGGTGGGAAGGCAAGAGGCGAAAGTGCAACAGAAAGGTGAACACCAAGAAAATTGCGGAAATCGGGAAAGCGAAAGTGAGATAGACTAAAGTGTAAGTATTTCAATCAACAGCATATTCATTGGAAGGTTTTACATATCGCAATTACTACTTTCTCGCCCATTTGTTATAGATTGTCCGAAAAAAGGTAAAAAACATATTATTACCTGGTCCAATATAGATAGCAATCCAAGCAATTTCATTTAATCCAACATATTAACAATCCAAGCGGAATTACTTGGATGGCTAACAATCCCAGCAATATTACTTGGTCTAGTATGGCTGGCTAGCAATCCGAACTATATTACTTGGTCCAATATAGCTAATAATTCAAGCAATATTACTTAGTTAAATATGGCTGGCATGTTAACCGATCTTCGTACCTTCACACACCTTCTGTAATATTCATTCCATCAGGATGCACTGATAAAAAAAATATTTTCTCGAAAAAATTCGTAAATAACAAATACTTGTTATAATATCACATTATCAGAATTGTTGCAAAAGATCCGATATGATAAGGACCTTACACATTAATTTCAATCATATCAAACTTCTTAATGACTTCTTTCATCGAAACTTAGTATCAGCAGCAATCTATGTCCAAAGCTTAATCAATTTGGTTCAAGCTTCTAAACCACAAGAAACATCTTGTGATTCTGAATCATTTGCAGCCACAACGCCTGAAAAATGTGTTTGACTGGAATTAATGTGTATGAGATTAATTTAATAATAAATATAAAAACATGAAATGTTGAATTTGATCGACGACGCAAAACTTGTGAACCTGTGCTTTGTTATATTTACATTTCCCTTTCACATCATCATTTTCTCTATGCTTCATGAGACCTGATTAGGTTTCACCAATTTTCTTTTGAAGTTTCCAGGAGGTTGTGTTTTCAGGTTTGTATCACAAACTTAAAATTAGCTGCTCATTTTTCACATCCTCCTAAATTCTTCTTCCTCTTTGCCATCTTACCATTTGCACATAACACAATTATCCATCATAAGCTGATATCAGTCGGTCGATGAACCTTGTAGCTCTAGGATTATCGATAGTTTAGTTTTTCAAAGTGATATTTTCAGAATTTAAGTAAATTACGAAATGCTTTCACTAACCAACGTCCATCGTCCTCTTACTTGCTGCATTCCAGCTTCTGCCCGGCTTATATCAAACTCATTTTTGTGAGTTTATAAAATCTTGCCAGACTATCCTACTTCTTACTGGTAATTATGTCTTTCGTATAACTGAAGATATTGTCATGCTTATTTTCTAATAATTCATTGTTCGCACACGTGACAGCTTGCATATTAGCAGGAAACAGTGAACCGGATCAGCATCAGGATGAAGAATTCCCACATTTAGTACCTCTTTTTTACGACCATTCACTCTCAAAAGAAGATTGTGATTTAACACCGAGTGATCCATCAGCAGCGAAAAAATTCGTTTCGGTGAGTAAATTTTTCATGTCAATAAAGATTATTTTCATATTTTGGTATTTGCGCTTGTAATTAAATACTCTTTGATCTCCGTTTCTTATCCTTAGAATTTAGTACTTGCTGGCAAGTCTAATATTTAATGAAATTTTGGATTTTTTTAGTCGATGCTATTTATAACATCCTATGAATTATTAGAAAGTTGCACATGTAAATAAATATTATTTTGAAGTTTCTTTTGTTAACAGAAAATGAGGCGTTCATTGTGTGATATGCTGAACCGGCCAAAAAACCTTCTTCGGGAACGGGAACTATATACTGTTCAATCTGAAAAAGTAGACGAGGAGATTAGCAATTCATGTGAGGACATTAAACAACGTGGAACATATCCGGAAAATCCTGGAAGTGAAGATGAAGAAAAATTCCCAATCGTTTTCATTCGAGTTGTTTACAGCTAATATGAATGATTTCTTTCATAAAAAGTGGGAAATTTCTTTGAATTGAAATCACCATTCCTTTTATTTGAATATCTTTCTTACTAATTTCTTAATATTTCATTTTTCTTCACATCATTTTTGTTCAAATTTCCCAAAAGAACAGGAAATATTATACAGAAGATGTCATGCCATTCTTACTTCCATCAATGTTTCCAGTAGAAAATTTGTATGTAACAACTTATGATTTGACACTTACTTGGAAATTTATTATCAAATTTTACTATGTTAATCTACATATTCGCTCGATATTCAATCAGTTAGGCATCACTTATCTTTGTGAGAGATAGAAAATTCATTTAATAAATTATTTTTTATTTCCTTCTTCATCATCCATCACCCTTGTGAAGTATAAAAATTGGTTTCCACTTACCTATCAAAATTAAAGTAAATTTTGATCCAAACTTAAATCGCTTGACGGATTCCGATTTAAAATTTCAGGCCTATTACGTCCAGAAAATGCTATTCAATTTAATGTATGCTTCACAGAATTTATATTACTACGCACTGGACAGTAAATCCAGTGACCTCTTCCATGAACATATGAGAAATTTGTCGAAATGTTTCTCAAATGTAATTTTAACGGGGACTGAATATGAAGTGGACAGCGCAGGACATAATATGATCAGAAGTTGTATGGTTGGAAATTGCGTGGCAAAAACCGAAATGGAAATATGCTATTTTACTCCAGGTATATAATAATTAATGATAGAAGTATAAATGACAAAGAGATGTGAATAATTTAGATTAACTTCGCAACTTCTTGGAAATTCTAAAATCCGGTAAGAGCATTCCGGTCAATCCAATATACAAACACACACACACACACACACACACACACACACACACACACACATACATCACGTACACAAACCGCATTTTCCGCTAAAAATGCGCCAGTTTTTTTCTTTTTTTTTCACTGCTAATACCAAATAAGAGGACACTTCCTTTATTTATGCTTGTTAAGTGATGAAAAGAAAGAACTTCTTCCACGCTAATTAGTAACTTTCAATCTAATTAAAAACACTGCAAAGTTTACCATTTGAAATGTTCAAATGACATGCAAAGTACCTAATAGAATGATGATATTCCAATAAAAAGTAATTGTGAAATAGTGCAAATATTGGACATATTGGACATGGAAGTAATGCAATGAATGTTGGAAGGCCATACAAGCATCGTTTGACGAAAAATGCCAATTGGAGTTATGGTGCTTTGAGTCTTTTTAAAGGTTAGAAAAAAAATGATATATCATTAGAATTTATATTGAAATCTTTAGCTGAGAACTATAATATCCAAAGTTTCACGTGATTAACTTCTTCAATCTTTCGCAAAAAGATCATGCTTACAATAAGTAGAATATATGGTAGCTCCACGAAATGGAACTACCATGTATTCTACTACCATATAGCTACCATATATTCTATGGTAGCCCCGGTAATTCTAGGGATAGAAATGAATGATCAGAGGAGAATATAAATGTAAATGCCTTCTATCAAGTGTCATACATAAGTTCTTTCAACGCCTGCAGTGTCTGTCATATGCATATACAATATTTGCAGATAAAACTAAAAATCGACCGAAAACATACTTGAAAATTGCTAAAGGAAGTTCATCTGTTACATTATCGAGAAATTTTGTGGATTTTATGGTGGAATATTTGAACTTGACGACTCTCATTGAGGTGTTTGATTCGAAATCGTAAGGAACTGATGAAATGCTCTTTCATAGCTTACATTCCGATGATTCATTAGGTAAACTTAACATGGATTCCATAATAAGAGATGAAAAGTGAAAGACAGAGTGCCTAAAATAGAAAGATGACAAGGACATATTCTTGATAACTGATATCCTTACGGCCAGATCAGAAATACATCATTTACTATAACTACTATTTAATCGTTATTACAGATGTTCCTGGTGGCTTCACAAGAAAATGCATTGATGAACAAAACGATTTTACCACCAGGTCAGTTTAGTAATAATCTTAGCCCCGTTATATTCTACTAATCGAATTATGAGGAGTAAAAATAGTTGTGTCACAGAAATGACCATTCGTTAGAAGTATGTGACGCTTGTATATGGCATTATTAATTATTCTCCAATTTATACTGTTTGATTTCTCATACTCTTCCTTTTGTCATCCACAAAAGTGAGTAAATAATGAATTATCTGAAAACATTTACAAGATCATTATCTCCTTGAAACAGTATTTAAAGAGTAGATACTGTATTACTGTAAGTGTTCATATTAACTGAATTGTCTGTATCTATGTAATTACAATTACACTGCAGATATACGTTTCGTAGTCCTGGTTAAAATGGCCGTGTAAAAGTGGTAATTATTGACATGGTGTTTGCATATTTGGTATTGCTGATCTGATTGATTTGATAAAGCTCGAATATTTATTTGCTAATAAAATGTTGGCACAAAGTGATTATGAAGCGATCGCCTATTGGGCAATGCATTTAACCAAACGGGAAATTGTAAGCAATTCAACCGCTGATTTTGAGACTTACAAGCAAACTCAAGTTGTACGATTTAATAACAATAAAGATCTGTGGAGAAAGAATATGTCGTTGTTTGAGTGTTGACTAATGAATTTTAATGCAGTAATAAAATGATATAGTAAATTGTGAATCACACATTCTAACTAATAGGCAGCACCACTCAAACACAGGGACACAAATAAGGTATCATTACAAGCCTGCTAATCAGCAATAAAATTGGTAAGGGTAAATTGTAGCAAGCATAAACTAAATTTTCAACTTCTAAATCTTGATAATAGTTCAGCTTCAGTCACCTTATTTTCCACGATTGCTATCACATAAACTGTTTCCTGCTGAGAATGAGTAAATCTATCTAAAAGGTAAAATTTATTACAACTCCGCATCTCCGATGTATCTTATTTAGTCTTCCGGACTCGTTTCAGCTGGCCAATCACTGATCTTAAGTCCATCAACATGATTTAATAACAGTCATAAAGAGCTGAGAAAAAATATGCTATTATTGGAGCGCTAAATTCAATATTTTTAAAAACATTCAAAGGGAAAAAGAAATGTAGTGACGACAGTATTTCCCCTGAAACACGATTTTGTCACTTGGATAGATCTCTGACCGCAGTTTAGTTCATAGCAATCAATATCAGTTTAGTTTACAATAGTTTAATTCACAATCAGTATTTACAAAAGTCGATACTACCAGCAAAGCACTGAATGCAAGTTTTACGCATATAATATTCCGTGCACCCCAATTAATCATGTCCCAACTTGAATACAGTTGTTGATCTTCTTAGAGACAGCTTGTACAGTTGAACAAACAAATCCAGTCGGATCATGTTTTAATTCTTCCAGAGATATTTGCAGTTGCAAAAAAAAAATGCTCATCTACCAGTTTTTCCCTATCAATTATTCATAGGTGATATTGGTCAGAAAATAATAGTTACTGATTTCACCTGCATTTGTGCTTCTTCCTCGGCACCTTTGTACATTGAGGTTGTAGTACTCTGTTTGCTATTTCCAAACCATCAGAGACCTAATTCAGCTGATGTTTTATTCGAAAAAAAAAAAATACGACATGCTATCGGCTAGCTGTTTTTCACGCAATAGATTCCTTTTTCTTTGAATCTAAATCCGGTATTTATCTCCTTTTCCTCCATCACTCTACTCTATTGACAACAAATTTCTTTTGTGAATACAGAAATGTAGCATAAAAATAACCTAACAATCAAGAATTGCAAAGAATAGTAAGAGAAACACACGTCGATATTATGAAGAAATGAGAAAATCAAAACACTCATATCATTCAAATGGCATGATGCAACCAAACAGCATTTGAGTGCACGTCCAGTTCACTGGATTAGACCTAATGAATTAAAATCTCAGACGCATCTCTTCTTCGAAAATTTGCAGAGCTATTTCAGGATGCGTAAATTTGACATGTACTCCATAAATCATTATAAATGAGTGATGTAAGGCCTCAACAAAATTAAAGTAATTAAAATGCCATATAAAAAATGAGGCAAAGGTCAATAAAGTCTCACATGAGATCAGAAAATTAGAGATGTATGGAGGAGTGAACAAAAAATATGCATGAAAATTGGAACAAGCGTCACTATTGATATTTTTCCTCCTATAAAGTTCAAAAATTTGAATTCCTACTCTTTTCTGAAAATAACTGTTTTTCTGCTCAGCAGTAAAACATCCATTTCACAATCACACAAAGGTGAATAACTTCCCAATCCACCGCTGTTTTCTCAAAAATTAAAAACAAGGTAAAGAAAATAAATTACACTTAAATTTTACAAGTGTCTGCCATTAGCAAGAGCCAAATGACAGAAAAGGCTAACTATGAAAAATAATTCAAAAGTGACGTTATCAATGGCGACTGTTTCCTTCATACTTAGCTTTCATCATCCATAATGACATCTAACAACATTTTCTTCGTTTCGGGTTCATCTGAAGCAACTGTATTATCTGTGGAATTGACATGGCCGGATACGGAAATTCCACCTCTTTGTGAAACATTTTTTAGAATCTCTAACACAGCTGGATCATTATTTTGCACACGTCCCGCCTTTCGTTTTTTAGCTTCCTCATTCCTTTGCTGTCTGTTGGCTTTCCATATCTCTACTGCTTCCTTTACCTGTAATTATTTAAACTAAACTGTCGTCCGTAACGTGTGAACAACTAGTTGTTGATTACAATGAAAAAAAGATGGACAATACAGTCCGATGACAAAAGATTATCTTGTCCCACACAATTCTCTATGCCAAACCAGTCAGGAGGTGAACAACAAAGCAAGGGTCGAACGACGACCCATATCTTCATTCATTTCACTTACTCTTTCCTCTCCAACGATTCGAAGCACAAAGCTTGCTTTTAATAATTAGTAAGTGCCATGAATTTAACAAATAAACATCTAAAAGCACCGGTTTCTCCAGTTCTTCGCATTCCAAAACTCGCACCGCATTTAAGACATCCACCGCTGCAACCGTCTTACGTTTGCTAGATACAGCACATTCTTGAGCATACGTGGCAGCATGCAAGATGAAAACCGCTGCAGCTCGTGCTATCGCTGTTCGCGCATCCTGTAATATCAGGCACTTCATTCTGCAACTTCATAAGCCGCTCTTCCACTGTTAAGAAAAGGAAGTTCTGGAAAAAAATTGGTAGCACAGCCTATTGTAGACATGAAAGCATGAGAAACCTCATTCAACTCATAGGTTGATAAAAACGAACCTTAGAAATGATAACACCAGGTGGTAGTGCTTCCTTTACCAAACGACCAATGACAGTTTGTGGTAGTCGCAAATCCTCAGCCACATCTCCGTCCGTCATTTGCGTAATAAACCTTTACAAAACAATCAAAACGTTAGTTTCGGTGTGCACATATCGTAGCATGTGTCATATGAGTACATCAACAATAAAGGCAAAAATAAATATAAGTCAGTCCCTTAGTTATTGATAAGACACCATAAAAAGGTTCATCATTTATATGAGAAATGAAGTTACATATGTTGCGTACGTAACGTAAAATCACACTTCAGTAATAATCACGACGTGAATTTCCAATATATTTAGAGATACCAAAAGAAAACCCCCTCCCAAATCAAATTTGAAGAAATCCCACATAAAACAGACCATGCCCGCCATCCCTCTCCACAAGTTCATCGAAAAACCTTTCAAAAAAACCGT